AAGATGAATACTAAAATGAAACTGTCGGAAGAAAAACATTCTATTTTAGTGTCTTCTTCCACGGTCCCTTTCATCCAATTAGAACCCCCGTATTCAAGGTAATTTTGTGGTTTTGCTGCCCCCTCGGAAGAGATGAAATTTTGCGCTCATTTTTATCAAAACAATCACACCAAAATCAGAGATGTCCCATTTTTTAATTACTCGATTAACAACTAATCGATTATTTTTTGTTCGCTGTGCTGCCATTTTTCCACCAATGAGAGTGCAGCACATGTTTGAAACGATCGGTGATGATCCTGTGGAGATGTTAATGCTTATATCGGCATGATCTAACCGATTATAAATAGTTTACTTTTCGGTTCGTTAATCGATTAAACGATTATTCGAATGAAAATCGGACATCACTAGATGAATGTGAAACGTCATTTCAAATAAAAGGCCGTTCATAAATAATGATACAATTTGATAGGGACCGGGGCTAATCACAAATTACGTCTCCATGGTAACTGAAATAAACACGGGTGTTCACCGGTTGATATTCCTAGGAGCATTGCAGGAATGTTCCGAAAACTTCAGGAAAATTGCGTAGTCTTCAGGGATGTTTCATAAATATCAGGAAAATTTTCTGGATCATTAGAACATCCCCCAGGAATTTCTTTCTTCCGGAATTATGTCCTTGTTTCTTTCGACTGTTCCATAAGCGCTCTGGCTTCCGACTTTCTTCAGATGTTTCTGCCAATCTACCTTAGGAAGTTTCTTTCGTCTTCTCCAGGAAGTTCAATTATTCCAAAAATTTCTTTCGTCTTGTCTGGAAGTTTGACTATAAGCCAAATGTTTTTTTTTTGTTCGACTTCTATTGAAAGGTTTTTTCGAGCTTTTTTTGACTTTCCCTGGAAATGGCTACTTCTGAAAATTTACTTCCGGTTTCCGAAACTTTTCTGGCTTTCTTTAGATGTGACATCCGATTTTTTTCCGATAGTTTATTTAAATTTTCGCCACAAGTTTCTCAATTCGTGTTTTGGAAGTTTCCCGGGTGTTTTTCCAATTTTTCTTAGAACTTGCCTCAAACTTCATCCAGGAGAGGTTCTTTCGTCTTTCTCTGGATGGTTTTTCGGCTTCGTTCAGAAGCTAATTCAAACATTCCCCGGAGTTTGCTTCCGGAATTTTCCGATCATTGTACAAAAGCTAAAATTTTGCTTTGATTAACGGCTTTCTCAGTCTTAAAACATTGCAACGACCACGATCTGCTCGACATTACGGCGATATGTTGTGGCCTTTTACAAGTGAAAATATTGTTTGTCGTTATTGTCAATAGTTTAGTCGTTGTTGTGGCTGATTTTTCATATTTTGGTTTCATTTAATGATATTTAAATGAAAAAAACTACTTTCTCACAATTTTGATCACCACTTGTCAATGAGGACAACGATAATTTTTAAAATTAAATAAAAAAATTAAAGGGTGTTTAAAGACTGAGAAAGCCGTTAAACAAAGCAATTCCCCTAAATTTCCTTTCAAAAATGGCAAAAATATAAAATTATTTAAATAAGGGAAATGGATGTAATGTCGGCCTCAATGCTCCTAATTTGGGCCCATACATAAATTCAGCAATCGACTAAATTTTCAATAGCGATCAAAAATATCCATTAGTACCGTCTCAATGAAGCGTTGATCTAGAAAAAATCAATAAATATCAGATTTTTAGCGATCTTAGATCCATAGGCCAACATTAGAGCCATTTCCCTAGTAAATACCGATAAATACCGATTTTTTAATACCTTTGATACCGATGAACTTTAAAACAATCTGGGAACACTGGAACGAAGTGCTCGAAAACTTGAAGGTTGTCATTTTCTAAAGAGCTATAAAATGGTTTGGAATTGATGAACACATAGTTCCATAAAAGTAAACGTAGTGTATCATCAATAGTAAAGGGAAACTAATCAAGAGAGTTTTATCATGAAAAATATATTAAATCAAATGTGTAAGCTGTTCCGTAATATAACACTGAAACACAGACAAACAGACATAACTCATTGAATATTTCTCACAGTAAAACCAACAATCAATACGAAACTAACGATTTTAAATTGGCTCACCACTTTAGTAGCCTATTGGTCCCAAGCAAACGATTAACGTACCCTATTCTAGTTGAAATTCTATTACTACACTATGTTTGTTTTGATTCGCTATGAAAGTTTGACAGATAACATCAGGGGTGTGTGGATTCATGCAGAACATGCAGGTGTGACCGTTGTTCTGGTACTGAGTGAGCCAAAAATAATAATGATTTTCTTCGGGACCCAGTGGTCTTAGAGTTACCTCTATGGTAAAACATCGTCGCTAAAACATTACCGCCATCTGTTGAGTACACTGTGGTGGGCACTACGCTGAACAGATGGTGGTAACATAGAGGTAGCTCTAAGACCAGAAGGTCCCGACGAAACGGGCTCAACTTTTTGGCTCAGCTCTGGTACTCTCTTCGTCCCAAGCTAATCGATGCACCCCTAGAAACATAAGGAAATTCATGAACCCCTCATTTTATCTGTCAAACTTTCATGGCAAATCAAAACAAACATAGTGTAGTACTAAAATTTCGACTAGAATGGGATACGTTAATCGTTTGCTTGGGACCAATAGGCTAGTGAGCAAATTTAAAATCGTTAGTTTCGAATTGATTGTTGGTGGTAGTGCGTAAACGTCAAACACAAGGGAATTGCCTATGCACGCCACGGGTGGCGGTACTACCAACTACAAACCTTTTAAATTGTCCGTTAAATGCTTGTTCGATGAACAATGTGCTAGTGTTATGTCTGTTTGTCTGTGACTGAAATATAATATCAAATGACAAAAAAAGTGATAAATTACTAATTTCATCCTCTTTTCTGGGGAATGGTGCATTCTGGGGAATGGTTTTATGGGGAATGTTATAGAATCGTTTTCATCTGTATTGATTCTAAAAAATCTCATTAAAAAATCCGTAAGTTTTTTTTTAAATATTTTTCCACACAATCGGTACAACAGTTAACGATCTCTAGTTATGGCTGATTAAAAAATAAACACATTCATGGGACTGTCACACTGATCTCCCGCAGTAAATGCGAATCCAAAACTTATACAGATTATGCACTCAGTGATAAGTTTATGGATCAGTTCGGTCTTGGTAATTGCCAACAGGCTTGAGGTCAAATGAATTGAATGTTCGACAAAATGTTCCAAGGACCTGCAAGGAATAATAAAATGGACACCCCTATTCTGCATTTCGTTCGAAACGAAATTCTCATACAAAAAAATATTTTTTTTTTGTATAGGAATTTCGTTTCGAACGAAATACAAAATAGGGGTGGGACCAGTGTCTGTTTTTATCATTTACCATCACACGCAAGGAGTAGCGCTTCAACCCAGTGTCGATGAATTGCGTTTGTTTTGAACATCTTCGTAGTTACGAAACGAGCGAAATGAACAAATGAGTTTATTATACATCAACGAATACGCGTTTATTGATATTCACCAGTGCTTGATTATCAAACCCAAAATTGTCAAAATCAGAAGTGATCCTCAAAAGCAAAATAATCAACGAAATTTTGGGCAAAATGATTATTTTGAATAATGTCGACCACACTGCCTTAATCATCGATATTATCATCAGTTCAGCTTGAGGCAATAATTTGCCGTCGACTTATGTCTAAAAACCACGTTCTTCAGCGCTATATTTGTTTAAAATGAAAATAATCATTTTGCATTTGATCCTCAATATCATCCCGACCAAGATGAAGACGAATATCAATATTTACAACAACAGAGGCGATAATGAGAATCCAGCCACGAATGAAGAAAAACAAATGTTATTTTTGATACTCAGAGGTTGCCTAGATCAAGGGAATTTGTTTATATCAAAATTCAAATTCATGCAGGTAGTAGATTTTTATCAGCACTGGGTGGGACTGTACAATATTTGAAATATTTCAGCAGCAGCACCTCACCTACTCGTGTCTCTTCGAGATTGTTAAGTTGACGATTACAGGAGCACATACAGTGGTAGAGGCAACAATAGCTACTCTAACGGAACTATCAACACGCATATTCTTGTTTTCGTTCGAACCGTATTTTCCATACAAAAAAAAAGTGTTTCATCTCCTCATCTATCGTATAAAATGACCACTTTAAGTATGATATTTGACGTTAAGCATCTCCAACTATACTTAAACAAGTAAATTAGTCGGTTAAACGCTTATATAGAACTCATTTTGGGGACTTTTTCAACAAATTTTGACAAAATGAGCGGTGAATAGTGGTCGTGCTGTGAACCGGCACCTCACGGCATACTGATAAGCATACCCCCTTATTCTGCGAGTCACGTGACTCTCTGTCACCAGTGAGGTGACAATTGTCACCTCGTGTGAGGTGACTCTCCATGTAAATCAAATGGAGAGTCACCTCACACGAGGTGACTATTGTCACCTCACCGGTGAGAGAGAGTCACGTGACTCGCAGAATAGGGGGGATCCCCCTTATTCTGCGAGTCACGTGACTCTCTGTCACCGGTGAGGTGACAATTGTCACCTCGTGTGAGGTGACTCTTCATGTAAATCAAATGGAGAGTCACCTCACACGAGGTGACTTTTGTCACCTCGCCGGTGAGAGAGAGTCACGTGACTCGCAGAATAGGGGGGAATGATATTGAACGTACTACCAGTTGATTTGTTTCATGCAGCTAGAGATCCAGGGCCAAACTGCGGGATGCTCACTATGCCCCACCTGTTCACTATGCCCCTCCTCCCCCTATATATGCATAAAATCAAGCTAATATTGAATCCCGAGCAAGGCCGGGCACACTCAGCTAGTATTTAATAAATATCAAACTGTCCAACATGGGCACTGTTCAACTCACACGGTACCAAAATCAATGTGGGTTATGTATTGGATTTGGCAGCCACAGGCCTAGGTGCCGGGTTACGGCATCAACTTTAAGGCGTGTGATCTTCAGTTAATACACCATAGCTAATAATAAAACACCAACTCTATTTTTTGTTCTGTTTGTCCATTTACAAGTTTGCTTCTTCAATAATAAATACCAGATTCTTACATATTGTTTTGCTTTACTTTTTTTTTCTCATGATATTGGAAATGGTTTTGTTCAATAATCTTTCTTCATCATTTTATTTTTGCGGTATTTTCTATCGCCATTCCAATCATTATTCTCGCACTGCGGCTTTGAATGCCTATGATCTTTCTCCGGCGCTTCTGTCGCTCAAATCAAACAGTGTTCGATGAATCCTATGACAGCGTGTTTGTATAGGTGTTTATACCGTTTTCGTAAACCAAATTAGTCTATATGTATGGAGTGTTTGTAGACGATTCAATGGTTTCTCAAGCATCAGGCATTCAAATCTCATTTAGCTACATTATCATCATCATCATAATTTCCTTTTTGTATTATGTTTTTTTTATTCCGTTCCTCCGTGTAGGTTTGTTAAGTAGGAAAATCGAGATATAAACTAACTGTATCAACTTTACTTTCAACTAAATCTAACAACAAAAGGCTTCAAAAATTATTTGAAAAAAAAGAGTCTAAACCTAAGCATTTCGTTTTATGTTTAGCATCTACCTTTCGGAGAAGAACCGGGAAAATAAGTTTGGTGGAACGTTCAGGTGAAGCACCTGAGTTTTGCATTAATTGTGAACTTTTAGTTGTTTTCCAAGATTACTAACTTAAATCCATGAACTGTTTATGTGTGTGTGTGTGTGTGTGTTTGTGTGGTTGTGAATGTTGGATAGGTAGCTTGGGTAGTGATCAGCAATCAAATCTCCCCCATTCTCGATCCGTTAGGTTTTCCGAGTATAGACATTACACCACATTTCGCTTGTTACTACTACTATATAGTTTATCATTTCACTTTCCACATGAGAATGTTTCTGTTCATACCTTTATGTGTCTATTTAATCTTATTTTTATATACCCATACTCTTTTTTTTTCTCTGTAAGTATCGATCGAATCCATCTATTTTCAGTAGTATTTTCAAACCTTCGCTACAAAATTGTTTACATCGTAGGTATGGTATGTTTATTTTGCTATGATTTTCCAATGTTGGTTTGTTTTAGCGGTTGCTTCTCGATAATGTAGTTTAATGTATTCAAAGAACTACTGGCTGATAGTTTTTATCTTATGTTCGACCGATCAATTTTGTTTTTGTGTAATTAGCGTTTGTCATTTTTTTTTTAAGTGAACAAGCTAACGTTTTTCCGATTATTATTCTTATTGATGTTTTGTATTAATTGTTAAGCGCGATTACAATTTGTTGGCATATTTTTGTTGTTGTTGTTGTTGTTATGCAAGTGTTGTAGGTGTATACAGACATTTATGAAGATGTAGTTCGGTGGTGATTTATTGGCGGCTCCATTGGTTTCTGTACTTTCTGGATGATGTGAAAAGGAACGGTTCAATAATGAAAATTCAATTGCTGTACAAATGCCAACAATTTTGGGAAATAATACTTCTCGAAAATCCCAGTTCAGCATGTTATGGTTAAAATAGTTGTAAACTCCATTTGAAGCATGAAAAAAAGGTTTATTCCGTCTCTTCTTCGAACAGCTCTGGAAGAAGTGATACCGCATCGGAAGATGGATGATTTACTGTCTCAATCTGCAAATTAACGAAAGATAAGAAATAAGGTTGAGTTCCTATTTGCTTCTGATCGCTATGAAGCTAACGATTGGGCATAATTTCTCAAAAAGCACGTGACAAGTGATATGGAGGGATCAGACCCCAATTTAAGCACTGTTTAAAAGAAGCTCGATTTCTTATTTTACACAGATTTGTCGAAAAAGACGACACATTTTTGAATTCTTATAATTTTATTTTATCAGATTCACACCTGGGTAACGCATCAGATTCGCACGCAAGTTCTCTGGTCTTTTAGTCAAGAAATACACTTCCTGAAGTTCTCTGAACTCATACCAGTAGTTCCATATACTTGTCTAGTAAGTGGGCACTGTCCGTGCAGATATCATTTGAAGAACATTGGCCGGGTTAAAAATGATAAGTGCCGCTTCTGTAACATCAAAGCAGAAAATCGGAACACATGCTTTGCAGTTGTAGTGCACAGTAAATATTAGGCGCAGTTAAATTTCTATTATTAAGTTCTAAGCCATGGCCCTAGACTGATGTAAAATTTGACATTTTCGCTCCACAGTGCTCAAACGGTACCAAATCGAGTCCTGATAAGCCTTTCCATATAAACTTTAAATGGTTTGTGCCATGTCATTTTCTTACCAAATGAGTTCAAATTGTATGAGACTAATCAGCATCCTATTTGGAACCGTTTGAGCACTGTGGAGCGAAAATTTTAAATTTTGCATCAGTCTATTGGACGCAGTAGTTTCACACCCTAAAAAAGGTTTCTGAAATCTTTCATATTTTTCCCCATTGTAGTTCATCATAGCCGTAATCCGAACTAGCCTGAGTCCACGGTAGACCCCGAAGTAGACTTCCGGGGCAAACTGTCATACATGGGTTAGTTGAAAGAGACTTCCGGAGAACTAGAAAAAAAAAACTTTCCGTGGAAGTCGCAAGACACTTCCAAAGGAATCGTTCACTTCAACGAAAAATCTCGCATCACTTTTCAAATAGACCAATGTAACAAATTTAAACAAATCGAGTTAAGCGATACAAACTATTGCTCTTCTATCATTTTATGTAATACAAAAACACCCATCCAAATTTACTTTCATTTATTTAATAAAATCTTAGTTCAAAAATTGTCCAATGTAAAGTTTGAAATGATGGGTACATGATTGTAACTTCGGTCATTCGGACTGCCTAACATGATTGGTGCTCGTTTTCTAAAGACGAGGTCAATCTAAAGTTAGGTATTCTACTATGAAATCTGTGAAAGGGAATCTAGTATCATGTAGATCAAAACGTCCAATGTAACACTCATTGATTATGTCAGTGAGAAAAATCGTCCAATGTAACATGTCCGATGTACAACGCGACTTGTCGAAACGTCCTATGTGGTTTTTTCTATGTTGCAGCATGAAATTCAAAGTTAAATTGTGATTTTATCGTTTCTACTGAATTTTCAACGTTATTATTCACTGACAAAATGTATTGTTTCTAAACAGTTTAAATAATAATCTGTCGAACTTCAACATCGATTTTCTCAAAATGGTGGATATGTTACATTGGTCTATTTGAAAAGTGACGCGAGAAGTCTCATAAGCAAGTGTTAATCCGTGCGTGAAAATGCCTGTCCGCCATATTTCGTAGATGTGATTTGTCGGAGTCGACGTTACTAGCGTCGCAAGTTCGTCGTTATTAGATGATCTGGCAAATCCAACCAAGTCCTTGGATTCTAGCAATGTTACCAGTCTTCTTGATATGATGTCTTCGCTTTGAGGGTAGATCCTGTAAACTTTTCAAGGAAATTCACTGGATTTCAAAGTGCTGCAAGCTCGGGAATATCACTGAACTCGCACTCAAAGCTACTGTGCTTCCGACTGAAAATTAGAGCGACATTTCTGGCTGGCATCACTGGTCTTCCTATGTCGCCAATGTCACTAATATCGTAGGAAACCGCTATTTTGGCTGAAACGGCACAGTACTGGATAATGTCAAAATTTAAGTAACCAAAGGGGGAAACTTCGAACGGATGTCTGAACTCCACGCTGCCATTTTATCCTTATATTTGGCATATGATTTCATCAGAAGTCAGATGTTTGGCACATTAGGTGGGAGTACCCTATTTGGCATAACTGCCTTTTGACATAATGGCCATTTGGCATAAACGCGAAAAAAAAAATGTTATAGCCTTTATCGAACATAACTACATTTTTAAACCATGTTCGGTTTTTTAAAAATATGAAAGAACAGGAGCCTTATTGGGGGAAGTCGATACGAAGCGTTTCGTCTTGATTACATATGGGAAATGACGGCTTCGGCATGACAGACCGAAAATAGCAACCCAAATTGAAACACTATTTTCACTGGATTTTCTTACGAAAACACTTCGCTGAATGCATGTAAACGATTCTTTATGCTTTCAGCTTCAATTTGATTATTTTTTACCACTGAGAAAAAGCAATCTAGCAAGGTTTTCTTGAAATACAACACACGCACTACAAATTGTAGCTGATTTCGAGTTGCCGATAATAGAACAGCAGATTTACATGCAGTTCAAATGGAACGGTTGCCGAAGAAAAACTGGTTGCCGACAATACTCGCTCTCACTAGAGAAGATTGGAGCTTTGTAAAAGCGTTTCAAAACAGTTTTTGACAATTCTTTCGACTGAAATTGTTAGAGCAGCTGGCAGCAAAAGATTGTAAACAAACCAATACTGCATATGTGTGCGTTCCATAGAGAAAAAGGCTATAGAAAGAAGGTCGCTGCTTAGGTTGCCGAGAATACGTAAATTCCCCTAATAGTTCTGTTCCCGTACTTGCTTTTTTTTTGCTTTTGCTGTACCTTTTTGTTAGTTGCTGTAAGGAAACAATATGATGCAGTAAGTACGGGAACATGCTTTTACTTTTTGCTGTACAGAATCTTACAGAAAAGCAAGTACGGGAACAGACCTAATGTGACCCAGCTCTTGCCGCCCACAAGAGAAGGGAAAATACCCATTAAATGATACCTATCCCTTGTTTTGATCATGAGCTGTTCATTCATATTCCGTTGAAGTGCAGCCTATGAAAAAATAAGGCTAAAGGACTATGTATTGCTAATAGTAGTGTTTCTCCGCATTTATGTAAACGACCATTATGCCAAATGGACATTATGCCAAACGGATTCATGTCAAACTGCATTATGTCAAATGGAGTACTTCCTAAAACAGGTTAATTCCGCTTTCAATCAGCTAAAATGTTCATTAGTTGTAAGTAAAAGATTCCTATCAAATTTCCAAGTTATTTCAAGGAGTTACTGTAAATATATGAATGGAATGCATCACGTTCACTCTATCCGTTCTGGTGATTCCTCTTTAGCACCAAACTACCATACAAGTGCATTTTTTTAGCAAAGGCTTAGAGTGCGTCGAAAATTATAAGGTGATTGGTGATGACGAAAATAAACGCAGTTTTAAAAAGGTTTACATTTGTGAACGAGGGGCTCGTACTTGTTTAAAATACTTCCAGTACCAGTACCAGTAGGAATATCTTAAGATTTTAATTCTGATAACATAAATGTCTTGTGCCTGATGGCAAAAGTCCATCAAGGAAAATAGCACAGCTACAGGTCCTACAAGCCAGCTGTAAATCCCTGCCATGGACTCGTCTGCCTTCGGAAGGGAAGTAAAACCGTTGGTCCCGTACTATATGTTGATGGCATCGGTGATGATTGGCACATACGTGGTGGAATAAGTTAAACAGCCAGCCAGTCACAAAAATCTGAGAACACTGTTTATAAATCCACGAAATCCCAAACATGTCAATCTTGATGCTAAAAACTAATTCTGTGGAATCTCGATGAACATGGGCTTCCAAGAGGCCATTTACTATCAAAGTACCAAGTACTTCATGTGTGTTTCACCGAAGCAAATTTCCCTAACACGGACATCAGAGGATGGCAACACTGATTTCCCAATCAATCTGTTCTTCTGTGAGTTTATGCAGAATAACTTCTTTTCGACATAACTGATGTACATTGTTTGCCAGCACTACCTAGTAACACTTTTAATAAATTTTTCAATAGTGCAAAACTGCTTTTGTATACGATGGCTTCAAACGTCGATTACGCGCGAATTAAAGCTTACTCACGCAAACTACCGACACCATCTGGTAGGAGAATATTATTTTCTCTTCTAGGCGGTATAGTTCGTTTGCAAGAGGGGACTTTTATTCGTGAGAAATCGGCGGTTGAAGCCATTATTCAATAGTGAACTGCTAACATCGAATTTCAAAATTGAACCAATACCTCTCTCATCGCCGCTCAATGAAATCCAGCAACCCGTTCAATTAACAATGTATTGGCTTGGATTAAATATTATAGGTAATGGCTTTCGATTTACGCGTGTAAGATTGCATTAATTCACCATATTTTTTTTCTTTTTCTTGTTGTTGTTGTTGTTGTAGTACTGTTTCAGCAAAGTTCTAATACACCTGTTTTTTTTACACAATGATTCGCTATACGAGTCGCTTTTTCCAAAAAATGTAACCGAAATATCGTGACGAACGAAAAACTCTGATTATGCTTGTAATATTACATTGATATAACTCTAAACTGTTACAAACTGCCAATCGTGCGCGCTCGCGCTTTCTATCTTCCTGTCTCGCTCTCACTTTCAAAACTTTCACGCTTCTGCTCCCGTGTATGGGTGTGTATGTGTATTTTTTTTTTTTTTCAGTTTTGCTTAAACATCTATATGCTCATTTGTTATTTCCGCTAAAAACTCGTCCGCCTCGCCGTTATTGGAGGCATACCACCGTTGCTGTTCCTGTCTCAACCTCGCCAGCCGCGCTACGGCAGCCGTGCGCGTTGTCCAGAAACCACCGCTGCCTCAATAGCTACCCACCTCGCAGGTTTCTGCCAGTTTCGGACACAGCTCCTTGAATACTTTCGACACGAATGAACTCTTGGCGTCGAGCCCGCCGCCCGGTGGCAGATCCGGAATGTGCTCCTCACTCAGTCGCTTCAGCAGAAGACCGTACTCCACGTTCGGCCCCATTTCGGTGATAATTTCGTCGATCTTCCTGTGCAGCGCCGCTTCCAATTTTTCCTCCTTTTTGATAGCATCTTCGTTGGGCACGGGAGCACCGGGGAATGCAATGATGATTATGCTCATATTGTCGCGACTTCCTTTGTGCAGACACGTATCGATGACCTGGTTGGCAATGTCTTCCAGGCTATCCGATATCTGCATCCGGCTGTGCACAAACTGGCACAGGTTGGCATTGCTCATCACATCCCACACTCCGTCGCAGGCCAGCACCAGGAACTCGTCCGCAGGGTCCCGGTCTTGGCAGAAGATTTCCGGTTCCGGAGAAACCAACTGTTCGCACGGGCCCAAATTCTTGGCGTTCTTGAAATCGTAGTCACCCAACGCTCGGGATACTGCGAGGCTACCGTTTACCCTCTGGATCATGACGGATCCACCGGCATTCTGGATTCGCTGCTTCTCACCCGGAAGGATCGGTTTGTGATCTTGGGTGAAGAATATCGGTGCACAATTGCGGGAAATTACCGCCCGAGAATCGCCACAATTTGCTATGTACACGTTCTGGGAGGAAATGAATGCACACACAGCCGTGGTGCCAGACTTGTCCGCTCCGGATGCCAGCTCCGGAATGTCTCGCATGGCCTCATCCAACTTGAGAAATCCAGCGTGAATACCCTTCGTGATATCGTTATTGCTAAATTCCTGTGTCCGGACAATCGACTGCAGCAGATTCTTCGCACAATGATCGGCCACCTTGTGTCCGGCGTGTCCATCAAACACTGCAAAATAGTTCCAATCGTCCAGGCCTTCTCCTAGCCCAGTTTTGGCATGATGTGCATCTTCCATTTCGCAGCGCCATCCTTGCATGGATCCTACACCGTACCGGAGCCCATTTCCTTCGCCATGCTCGTTGTGTTTCGCCGTCATCGGTTTCTCCAGAAACGCACCCATCTCGTAGCTGTGTTGTTCAAAACTTTGCTCTGTCCTCACAGCAAAATTACCATTGAATCCGGCGACCGTGGGTCACGCTGCACAAATGTCACACCTTTCCGAAAATTGGAATTTCCGTCTCCTTCGCTACCGGGAATCGTAATCTGAAATGGAAACAGAGGGAAAAGAAGACCGTTAAGAAATGTTTTGTTTCGAAGGTAGGTGCTTTTCTGATAAGCAGCAAGCAAAGAGCGCTCCAATTAATCCCGCGTGGCTCGTCATAGTCGTGTTGTTCGTGGGAAGCAAACAGAAATAGAGATGACCTAACCGCGAACACGAAACCCAATCACTACTCATAAATGGACGCGCATCACATTGGGTCGGTAGGGAGGGGTGAGGGGGGCAAGAAGACCATATGGGGCTAGATGGGCCACCGTTTTTTTGGACATATTACCTATTAACCCAATCGTTTTTTATTATAAACTTCTTGAAAATGCATCTCCATGAAAACCATATCAAAATTAAATTATATGTTTCTCTAAAATTTTACAAGATTTGCAGTCAACAAAACAAGCATTGCATTTTCTCGATCCGCTGGTTCCTGTAGAGCGAGCAATACACGTAACAGTTGCTAAAAGACCTTATGTTTCTATTTAATATGATTCCTGAATGTTATTCTAGCGAAAAACGTCAAAACGTTAACTATGGTCATATTGCCCCCGTTGAAAGGAGCAATAACTTATTTTTTTCAAACATAATAATTTAATGAGTATGTTATACTTTTTCGTGTTTTCTTCGTGTTTTTCTTAGGGGGACCATATTGCCCCTATCTACCATACCAAGGTACAAACAAAACAAAACCGGATAGTGATAGCGGGACTGCTCATTTATCTCTTTCTCTCTCTTTCGGTTCCTCTCATCAGGTGGCGTTGTTATTGTTTGCTGACTAGACCCTATAGGCAAGTGACGTATCGCATGTTGCACTGAGCTGACGCAACTCACCCCCGACCCCCCTGCTGCACCATTATTGCCCATTGTGGCTGATGCGGTTGACGCACTCAACGTTGAATGATAATAACAGTAGGTAGTGACAGTGTAGGTTTTGCTATTTGGTAATTGATAAACAGGTACAGGCGGTCATGAGACACTGAGACGGGGGTCAAGGTTGCGCACAACTGAAAAAAAAACAAATCCATTCATGATTTTCTTCTTCTTTGATTGTTTTCCGTCGATCTTGTGTTTTTAGTACAGGGTACCAATGCTACCGCGACGCCAGGGAGGCAGCTCCCACACCTGGACCCTATCTATCGACCCATCAAATCATGAACCTGGAACAAATTTCTGTACTTCCCCTTCCCGAAGGAAGGCGTGATAAGAGATGGTATGCCTCAGAAAATTCCGGCGGCGCCGAGTGGGATTGAACCCAGGCCTTTTGGGGTGAGAGGCAATTACGCTTATCACTACACCAACGGCACCGCTATCCATTCATGATATCGCGTTTGTTATTTTCTGATAACAGGTCAAGACACGAGATATCACCGTGTCGCCAGTAATGAAAGTTCACAACTCATGTGAATCAGAATATCAATTGATGATTTTGTCAAGCTTCTGCATTCATGTTCCATCAGATGTCACAGCTGTTGTTTGCGGTGACATCTATCGGAAACTAGGCACAATCTGTTTTCCTATAATTGTTCACAGAGGACACTGCAGTGCAAAACATGTCTGGTACCTCTATATATGTATTTAGATTATTGTTCGAAGTCCCTCCTTTTTTACACATTCTGCACACAAAATAGCTCACCCCTCACAGAATTTCCCGCCGAATTTTATGCATGGGACGGGGCATAAAGTATCTTTTGCACAGAATATGTAAAAAAGGAGGGACTTCAAATGTTAAAGCAAATGCATATATAGAGATACCAGACATGTTTTGTAGTGTCAGGTACTCTATTTTGTAATCTGTGAAAGGGAAATCACAAATCGAGTGTCAACAAACTACATGGCAGTTGAGAGATTGAGGTCGTGAGAACAAATTTTCTCTCTCAAATTTGAATTTTTTGGCTCTCTGGGAGCTGGTAGTAGATCAGGTAAAACTGCACACTTAGTTTTTTTCTACCGAGCTCGGCTGTGCAAATCTCAGCAAAATAAGTTTCACTGAGATGTCAGCAAAAGTGACATTTGATTGCTAAGTCTCGGATAATGCTTAGCTGAATCTCACCAAACAAATGAAATGTTTGCTGAGATCTCAGTAAAGCTATTTCTGCCGAGATTTGCACAGCCGAGCTCGGTAGAAAAAACTAAGTGTGTGTATGGGGAAAAATCATTTTTATTTAATTGTAGCTTGTTTAACAATAATTTCCCGGAAAAAAAAACAGAACTACAAAGTCCCTGATTAATTTCTTTAGGTTGTCGTGTACTTTTTTTGACCTGAATATGCACCGAAAGCGAATTATTCCCACTTCTTTCAATTTCTATATGGGGATTTTTTCACTTCCTACCAGTGGAACAGCGCCATCTCTGTGGAAAATGGTCGAACAAAATGATTAATTGTAGTTGCCATGTTGCTACCAGCGTTGTCAACTTTCCAGATTTAGGCATCATCCACCCTAATAAAATTGTTATGGTTATTTAGCTTAACGACGTGTTCCGGTTATCATTCAAACCATTTGTAGAATAGTTGAACCATTTGGGTTACCATCCGTTTATGGTATTATTATTATTTTTATTAGAGCAGACATACAGATAAATTTTTGTCTGGTTCAGATTTTAGAGTATTTGTCCAGATTTATCCAGACAATTTGAAAAGTATTCTAGAATTTTAGAATTTCTAAAGTATTCTGCACATAATTCCAAGACTGTTATGGAGAATAGCAGAAAGAATCACAAGATTAGTGAGGGGAATGCTGAAAATAGCTCTGAAGACATTTTGGAATGAACATATGAATATCTATGAGACATTTTCGAAGATATCTTCAGATAAGTCCGAAGAAATAATGTTTCACTTGACTTGACCAAGAACTGAGGGCAATATTCGAGAATCTCGGACAATATTCGATGACTAAGAATAAATGAAAAAATATTACATATCTGCGAAAATAAAATCATGAAAACAAATGTCAGTTTTTAGCTAGACCCTAGGGTCAATAAATGGCGCTCTCACCTTCATTTAATTAAAATTGAACAATAATACCTTCTGCTGTGAGTCACCACGAACCTAGCGTGCTCCCCAGTCTAAATATATCAATCTAATTTAATCAACACATAACAATTAACCGCTCAGAACATAAGCAAAGTGGTAACGACCTTGAATCGCATCAACAACAACATGAAAACTACATACGCTTTGACGACTGGCGAAACAAGATTATACGGGATTACAAAACTACGGGGAGTTTGAATGCAAATCCAATGACCGAAAGAAGTAAAATAAAAATAAACAAACTCTAAACGATACACTTTCCCCACATGGGTCGCATGTTGATATTGATATGGCGCATATCTTTGCCTACGTTGGTACTACTCTAACGGCGTTCGAGCCGCCACCCGATTATTGCGAAGCATCATGTTTCTTTTCATCGACACTATACTCTTATGCAATTACCGGTAGGTATTATCGCATGGTCGCTCTACTGTAGAAGGCAGGACTAGCCTAGGCGCTAGGGGCTTAGAGAGGGAGCACAGGGCCGGCACTCGCTGCTACTAATGCGATACGACGCGATCGTCGTTCGAGCCGATAACCGACGATGGTTATCCGGTATATACTGAAAGAAATCCTCCGCCAATTTTCGAGTGAATCAGTACTCGGCGGCAAGCAATGTTTTTTTTTTGATGATGTTTTACCCGGTGCTATCTATTTTTCTCTATACTATACTAATATCAACATGAAGCTTTAGTGTGATAATTTATTAACTATAGATAGTTTTGAAGAGCATAGGTTGATAATTGCGCTAGAGTACGGCAGTGTAAAAATTGAATTGAAGTTGAAATTGAGCGAAGGGCCATTAATGCGACACAGTTCTAGTCAAACGAACACTCCTTTACTTAACCCATACATTGATGAATGAAGGGAGTTGAAGTTTCTTCAAATCTACAGTCCTATGGATGACTATTGATGACGCTTCATAAAAAAAAAGTAGAAGGGTCTGTGCCTAGGGGCACGAACGGAAGCTTGACGTAGGACCGCTAGTGAACGGAATAAATGTGAAGAGCATTTAGTTCTTTTAATTGATCAATTATCTATTACCTCAACTCTTTCCGTTTTTAAATTGCAGGCGTACCAAATCTTTAGTATTTTTTTTTTAAAGAGAAAGTTGATTAAGAGAATCAATCAAAATCACTAGCACCCCTGTTTCCAAGTTTGGTTACAAGATTACAACTCTGGTGAGCATTTTGTGTGGTCGTTGGGGACTTGTGGTTCTGAATATGGACAAACAAGCACAAATTCTATTCCAACTTTTTACTGATGTAAGCTTGATGGCCCTGAAAAGGGCCGTTTTATTGAAGAGGACATCCATGGCCACTTACGCTTGGCTTGTTTAGTGTAGGTGACAGCACAACGGACCTCATTTTCCAGGAATACCTTCAGCATACCTCGTAGATCAGACCGGAGATACGTTTGACACCACCACGGCGAGCCAGACGACCGATGGCGGTTATCTCGAAGAACTTTGCGATGACGCTTGGCGCCTCATTTACCAGACCTTTTCCTCCTTTGCCACGACCACTCACAGTCAATTGTTGCTTGTTAGGTGTGAAGTAGTGGACTAGCCACCACCTTCCTACTGCTGCTATTGCTGTTCACCACGCCGTCCAAAGCGAAAATGAGCTAATTCCATTTTTTTTTTACTTTAAGGTTCAATTTACTTTGATGCTTTTTGGAAAATTTCAAAAGCAGCTTTTTCCGACGCATTATTTTAGATTGCAAAAAGCTCGCACTATTCGATTCCTTTTGATATTTTACACAAAATGACGCGAGCTTTTTGTGATCTAAAATAATGCGTCGAAAAAAAAAATGCGTTTGAATTTTTAAAAAATGCATCAAAGTAAATTGAACCTTAAATGATCTATATTTCTTGAATTTGTGTGGTTTACATGTATAACTTATCAAGTGACACAGATGCGTCTTTTCAACTTTAGTTCTTGTGAAATTTCAATTATTATT